AGTCATGTTCTTAATTTAACTATGTTAGTAAAATTCTCGTATGTCAAATAAAAAAGTTGTAAAACTCCAAGATATTGTCATAATCAAGATCCGTGGTAGATCTCTCTTGGATTGACGATGTACTTGAAAAGTACTAGATGGAGACTCAATGGTATTTTATCCGAGTGTCACAGTGGCCAAGTAGGAGACACTATTTTCATTAGTAGGAGACATTTTAGAGTGAATCAAAAGCAACAATATGAAACAGCATAAGCCCACCACTAATAGATATTGTCTATTTTGGTCTATTACGTATCTGGGATCTCATAATCCACCCTCCACTTAAGGGCCAACGTCCTTGTTAGCACACTGATGAGTGTCAGACTCTGATATCATTTGTAATAGTTCAAACTCACCGCTAACAGAAATTGTCCGTTTTGACTCATTATGAACTCTTCAATAGTATTATACCATTTCTAGAGGTCAGTTACATCGAACAACACTCACAAACCCTACAAGACGATAACATAAATAACACGCCCACTTTTTGTGTCTCTGATTTCTTATTTTGTGTACTATTCTTCAAAAATTGAGGCGTTTTTTAATGAGAAAATTGCCACAGTTACCCAAAAGACCCATTCAAAAAGGCTTCTTTCAAACCCCCTTTTCAACTTTCTGCTTCCAACATTACTTCTGCAACGCAGAAGCATCTGATTTGTTTAAAACTCATCATCTTCTTTCTATGTTTCCTTCTCCAAACCCCATCGCTTCAAGATCATGTTCATTTCTCCAAGAACATCCACAACCCACCACCTTCTTTGCATCTTCCTCTTAATGCTATTCTTTATTGCCAAATTCATTCCCTGCAATGCCTCCCCACCTCAACAGCCCTTCAATCCCCCGCCAAACCCACATTTTTATGGCCATTTCTTTGCCTTCTTCCCCAGAAGAGTACCCATTCCTGCCTCTGGTCCTTCAAGAAGACACAACTCTATTGGCTTAAGAACCTGGAGATCCCCTTGATTTTTTTCAAAACAAAGCTCCTGGGTCCTTTTTGTACATCGGATTGTTTCATGGGTTAGTCTCAAAATTTCATCTTTTTCTCGCTTTTCGTATATCTCAGACTTATATTTGTATGTAATGAATGCTTCGTTTCTTTCCTCTTTTCTTATGAAATTTATGGTTTTGATTTAAAACATGTTTTGAGACCATTTTTATTGTTGTGAATGAAAAAAATGTGTATAGATTAATGATTTGGAAATAATTATTAGTTTCTAATATTGGAATCATCATCATAGAATTTAATTTGTCTTCAAATCTAACAAAATCATTGGTGGATTTTTATCTTATTTCAATCGATTTCTAATAACTCGACTAATTTAAATATAATTTAAAGCAAGGTTAGATATGTTTTTAAGGATTAGATATTCAAATTCTCGATCGAATAATGTATTGTTTACACCGAACGTAATGATAATAATAAAGTGGGACGGGATTTTTCAATTATTTGTGTATCCATTGTATATGGGATAAGGAAAATGAAAAGAGGGAAGAAAGAAGAAACAACAAGAAATTTCATTTTCTAAATTGTTGAGACATGTTGACAGCCTAAAAGAAAAGATAAATAAATAAATAAATAAATAAATAAATAATAATGTTTTGGTTATAATTTTATGGTAATATTACATTTTATTACAATAGGAAAAAAAAAACATGTGTTGGTTTGGGGGGACTGTGAGAACCCATATTGGTTGAAGAGTAGAACGAAACATTCTTTATAAGGGTATAGAAATCTCTCCCTAACAGTCACGTTTTAAAAACTAACGGGTCAAATCAGAGAATATCTACAAACGGTGTGTTTGAGCTATTACAAATGATATCAAAGCCAAACATCAGATGATGTGCAAGCGAGAACATTGAGCTCAAAAGAACGTGGAAACATAGAGCCGGACATTGAATGATGTGCCAACGAAGACACTGAGCCTCCAAAGAAGGTGTGTGTGGTCGGAAGCTATTAAAATATAGACTTTTTAGTCCTTGAATTGTTTGACCAAGGTGAGTGTACTGAAGAGGGGCAATGGTTCCCACATTTCCATGTTTTAATGGCAAAAGGAAAGATATATTACATATAAAGTAAGAGAATCTAAATTTTATAATGTTTTTGAGCTACCAAATACAGAGGATTTAATTTCATCTCCTTTTTCACTCTAAAATAGTCATATATTATACCATATAGGCCCCACATTTAAATTATATATTTAAACTAAAAAAAAGATGGTTTTTTTTTTTTGTAATACCCGAAAGATACATGAATGAACCGATATCATATCCAGATGATCTGTGGAGATAGTCATCACCATTAGATACGAGAAGTAAGTAATATGAGAACAGAGACGTCAATAACGCTAATTATTAATAAAAACATGTCACATTAACAAAACGTGAATAACGCTACCGCACCATACAATAATTTGTGAGAAGAAAGAATAATAGAACAAAATTAATGTAATAATTTGGAATACAAATAAACGTCCATTTCACCAAAAGAAATCACTTTTACAAAAGGGAAACCTAATTAATTGCTTCCATTTCTCCCCAACCTTTTGTGTTGTCAAACTTCTGAAGCGTGCTTGTGTACACATTCATCAATCCATATGTAATTATTGTTGATTAAGAAAGTTTAACAAATAGATACCACTTTCATTAAGATGTAAACATAAGGATTAATGCATTATTACATTCCTTAATCATTCCCTCTTTTTTCAACCCTACTTTCGTTTATCTTTAGTCTTTTTTTTCTTCGTTTTAATCGTAATTCATTTAGTCGAAATATTGGGAATGTGATTAAAATAACGAGCCTTCTTGCCAAGGTAATCTTTGTACATGTTATCTACCGGTGCAAGAGCGTATTAAGTTGACAAAGGTCTCTCATTATTAATACGAACCAAGTTTATAAGCTTGCGAGAAAGAAACTTCTCGATACCCTTTTTTGAATGATTACTAAAAATTCTAATGAACACGAAAAGTTGATCAAATTAAAGTCGGTTGATTGTTTTTCGTTTCGTACATTATCACAAAGTTCCTTTTGTTTTGTTCAATGTATTATTCTTTTCTAATGCGATTCTTGTAAAATTTCCTATTACATGTGATTTTAAGATATATATATATGTTGCAACCGTACTAAAAATATAGTACGTGCAAATCTATCCGATTACACAAGGGTTGAAACAAACAAGTGTCATGATGCGATGGAAGAGGATAATGATTAACTAACACATCAAGAAGAGTGTGCATGAAAGTCAAGGTGAGACAAAGTAAGATTAGGGGCAACAAGTTGTTATGAGTGTTAGAGACATGCTCGAAGAGGGTTGAGTAGGATTCTGGGCCATAACCTCAAAAGTTGGAGTTTTGGCGTGGATTTTGACATTTGGCTCGAGAGTCAAGTCAATACATGTGAAAGATGAAAACTCGCTAAATTTGGCTTAGGGTAGAGACAAGTTAGCTAGAGCCACAATAATTGACATGTACGTATAGTCAACATGTATGATCGAACAAGCTTAGTTTCTATATAGGTTGTGTTTGGTGGGCGAAAAACTAGAATGAGACTTGAGTTCTCCTTGTAAGGCTTATCACATAATGCCGCACGGTTTAAAAAATATACTACCATGACACAGTGTATACGAAGATAATGATACACATGCCATAGGATATAAAAGAAAATATTGATTACACGTGGTAAGGAATGGGGAGGGAAGCATCATTAACCACACGAAACTAAGAGATATGAAAGGCAATGATGAAATGGTAAAGTGAGCTAAAGTTTAGGGCAGGAGGTTCCTGAAGAAGGGACACCAATTCATTTAATTAAATCAGGATAGGAAAGGCATCCCACTTCAATTTGTTTGAGAAGCATGCCTTGTTAAATTAGGTTTTGATGGATAAGTGTTCTTCAATTTTCATGTTTTTTTGGCCCAACCAGCGCTCCAAGAGTTGTGATATAGCACCAGATCTCAGCATCATTACACTAATCCTTAATACATATGCACCATGTTGTTGTTAATATGTGTACTTGAACTAAACCAGTTCTTGAAGTTGACCATGCACCAACCAATGTTTTAGACGGATCAACTGCAACTGTCTTTGTCGATGCCTTCTATTTTAGAGTAAGTATGGGCTAGATACAACACGTCCTAGCATTAGTATCATCATTCTTTTGCTAGTTATTGTTCGAAACTCCTTAATTTAAGGCTTTAAAGTTAGAGCTGCAGGTTTCCTTTCGCATGCATGTGTACCAACTATCAACAAGATGCTAAGTCTTCTCTAATTGACCTGAAGTGTAACAGTTTAAGCCCACCGTTAGTATATATTGTTTGTTAGGCCTACGGTTACGTATCGTCATCAATCTCATGATTTTTAAATTTATTAGGGAGGCGTTTCCACAATTTTATAAGAAATGTTTCGTTTCCCTCCGCAAACAACGTGAAATCTCACAATCCACTCCTCTTAGAGGCCTAATGTTCTCGCTGGCACACAACTCGGTGTCTGGCTCTGATACCATTTGTAACAGTCTAAGTCATCCATTAATCGATATTATCCTCTTTAGCCTGTTACGTATCACTGTCAACCTCATAGTTTTAAAACGATCTATTAGAGAGAGATTTTCACAACTTTACAAGAAATGTTTCGTTTTTCTCTCCAACCAATGTGGGATCTCAAGGTAAGGCTCCCCGGTGAAAAATGACTCAAAAGTTATGATTGGCCCGATGTTCATAATTTCATGATCAAATAATATTTTAATTTTTAAACTCTTAGGATTATGTTCATAAGTACATTTTGATAAATTTCTAAGTAGATAATAAAGGATTAAAATTTTGTTTTTTATTTTGTGGTTAATAGATTTTTAAATTTTTTAAATTAAATAAAAATTTAAACTTTCTATTATATTATTATTATTTTCAACTCACATGAACTTAACCTTAAATATTTGTTGAATGTAAAAAAAAAAATAAAAAAAATGATATTAAGCCCAATTTCCCGAACCCAAACCCCCGAAGAGCTGTAGCTGTAGCAATGTTGGCGAAGTGGAGCAGAATCCCCCGCCATCTCTGGAGGATTGGAGCGGAAAGCCACTTGAAATTTAGTGCCGATCTTCACGTTTTCCATCATCGAAGCTACGCCAAAGTTGCAGCCGCCGTTGCACCCAATATCGGTCAATTGGGAAAGGGTTTATCCAGCGGCCATGTGGTGTGTATTTCTTTCACTAATTTCAAGTTCCGCAAGAGAGTTCTGGTGCTTGTTTTTCCTCAATTCAAATTGTGTGTCACTATTAGTTTATGCATTAGATGACGATTTAATCATTATTCTGGCAATTTAAGCTAGTTTTGTGGCAATTTATGCATTAGATGAAATCAATGTTCTTTTTCCTTGATCGTTTTTCTAAATTCAGTTTTGGTTAACCAAGATTTTGATTCAACTATTTCATTCTGAAATGGAGTTTCGCAAGGATTCATGTGCTTAGCTTGAATGGCTTGTTCGTTGGTTATCCTGCAACTGCAACTGAAATATTTGATTATAAACAGGTGCATTTGGATAAACTGTTCTTGTCCAAGCCTTGTTCTCTAGCTTTGGCCAAGGATTCACCATTGAGAATGGATGAACCACAGTATGAGGGAATTAAGCGTCTTTTTCTCAGGATGATGTTGTTTTATAGTAAACAAAGCCAGCATATTCGAGCGGCAAATGTCATATACCGGCGAATTGTTTCTCAAGTTGATAAACCTGCCATATATGATGGTAATCCTTTCTGCCATCTATGATTTAGTTGGGAATTTGCAAACATTATGGTAAAGAATCAGTACATGAAATTTTCATCTCTTGTTTTTTTAAAAAATAGTACAAGACCTCAAGATTCAAAAGGAATGCACCATTAATTATACAGTGACAAGAAGCTAACTGTTAATGTCATGCAATCCATTGGATCATGACCACACTAAACGAGGAGCGGTTGAAGACACTTCATAAAGGAGAAGCTGGACAATGGACTAATTTGTCGACTCTTCGTGTCTACTTGAAATCAATAAACTGATATGTGATACCCTAACCAAAGGACTAAGTGTCTTTGAGGACAATTTTTAGCAAGCTAGGAATGGAAAACATCGATTCACTAGCTTGAGCCAAGTCTTAAATAGGTGGAGTATTCAAATATTCTGCATATAATGGCTGGATGTTGACCCACAGTAATCAGAAAGGCTTCATCCAACTAGTTCAAGTACTAGAGCTTTATATGATCTAGGAGCTGGAATTAATTGCTGTATTATTTTATTGTGTGCCTAAATTAAAATTATTAGCAAATTTGTGACTATTTTTCTGTTCACAGCTGGCAACAATAGCTTGAAATTTGTGTGGTATTCTTGTTCTTCTCAATGTGCAGTGTTCAATTTGGAGAAAACATTTAAAACAACATTCTCTCTGCTTGTTCTTCACATGTGGCTTTGCCTGCGACGCTTGAAAGAAGAAGGAAAGGAAGGTGTTGAACGTGGGCAATACGTGTATGAAATTTACAATCATGATGTGGAGCTAAGAGTGTCTAAAGCTGGGGTTCGTAACCAACGCATACATTTTAATCCATGATTTTCTAACATTTAGATTCATTAAATTTTCAATGCTTCTATTGCATATATTATGTCTCTGTGTATGGCATGCACCTTTTGTACTTCGTTTACCTATGTTTTTCCAAGATGTTCATATTCAAAGTTTAAAAAAATCATCACCTTAAAAGATTAAGATAGTAACTGTTGAATAAATTGTACTCATGTATTGAAGGCAAGAATTATTGTATAATGAGGAATAAGGCATTGCTTATCCCACAATTTCAGTGACTCCACATTTTCCTGTTTGATACCCATGTAGCTGTACAATGAGTTAGTTTTTGTTCCAATAAACAAGATAGTTTTATAAACACCTTCAAAATAACTCTATAAGACATCCTCAGCTGTGGATATTGTTGGAAAGGATGGAGAGGATAGTGGAGTAATGAAGAGGATTCTAATGAGGACTTGGAGCTTAGCTCATAGGGTGGAATCTAGGGAGTTCCTTGACATAGCTAAGTTCTATTTTTTTCTTGTATTTCTAATATTATTATTATTTTAATCTCTTCCATATTATTTGTTGTATTTTAGATCATCCTTCTTTGGCAATGAAAACTGAGATCTTTAGTTTTCATATCGAGATCTGTAGGAACGAAACGTTGTGAATATCATAAATTTGTAGTGCAAAACTGTTCGTGAGTGATACCACATATACATGCTACCATGAAATAGGCTTTACATATGAGGAGGTATTTTACTTCATTTTTCACTGGCAGGTCAATTTGCTTTTGATTCGTTGGATGAAAGATTTAGAGAAAATCTTTTATGGAAATATTGTTGCTTATGATTCTGCCATGCTTCCAGAAGCTGGACAAGATGAGCTGCGGAATGTAATATGGAAGTAAGGCTTTCTTTACATTTTCGTAGTTGTAACCTTTGAAGTTTTATGCAATATCACCTTTTTAAACCGAGTGACAACAAAACGACACACTGCAATGTGAATCTACTGGACGAGCATACGACCAATTGAGACACCCCTATAGCCTCTTCGGTACCTACTTCCATGATGGATCTTTCCTAGCCTTTTAGTTGTCCTTTCTAACATTTTCGACCATGTCTATGAAGGAAAAAAACATTGAAAGAATTAGGGAACAAGTAATATTTCTTTTGACCGTGAATTATCGATTGCTTTTTGAATCCTGTGAATCTTAGTCAAACACAACTACTTTCTTGTCAACAACCACCCAAATAAAAATGCCTAGATAGGGCCGATTTGCTACAAGGGAGGTTTCCCTATTTCAAAGGATTCAAAGGAAGGCATTTCATTCTCTATCAAGGATTCATGGTAGAACCCTTCTCGAAATGGAATGGACATTCACAAAACTCAATCCAAATGCCCCCTAAACTGAAAATAAGTACCATGATTTTGCATCTTTTTTAAATAAATTATTTTTACTTATTTTTCTGTTGACAATTATCCTTTGTACCCTTCTTTCCAGTATTTGATTGTCGTATTTTACAGGAATATATATTCTGAAGATGGATCATCAATGCCAAATGATGCTGCTGCATTACGAGCAGTGCAGGTTAGTTTTTGCCATGATTAATTCTGCATGATGTGACCTTGATTCTAAGGGAACATCCCATCTCCAAAGTTTATATTTGGAGTCAAAGCCATCATCTGTTAGACATATTCTTTAGATGATTCAATCACTTGTTTTTTTCTTTTATGTAAATGCAGGCAATGGCTAGGTATACGCGTCGTGAAGTTACTTGCTTGTCCATGACAGGTAGATTGAAATTTTATTTTTTATACGCACATTCTCATATATATTCTGTAGCTGCTCAATGGTTTGTTAGGAATCACGACCCTCTACAATGGGATGATTTTGTCCACTTTGAGCACAAACTCTCGTGACTTTGTTTTTTATTTCCCCAAAAAGTCTCATACCAATGGAGATGTATTCTCCGTACTTATAAACTCATGATCATCTCCTTAATTAGCTAATATGGACTCCCCACGGATCGAATAATACTTTGCTTTCCACGGAAAGGCGACATATTTCATAGATAACCTCCTTTGTAGCTTCAGCTTTGGAGAATCTGTTTGCCCCATCGTTCAAAATTTATGGACGAATGAATATTGAAAAGCACTGATGTCAATACCCTGTACTTTCACTCTGCCCCAATTTCCATTGTATTTTGCTTATGGATCGTGTCTTCCATGTTCATTGCTAAAGAGAAAAGAATGATGGAAATTTGTTCAACCTCGTATCAATAGGGCAATAGGTCTACATCTTTGTTCGTAGACCTAGGGTCGTCCAGATCTTCAACTGGTCAAATCAGAGGGTCTAGTTTTTATTGATTTTAAATCTCAATACATCAGGATGAAACCAAGCATCAAAGGAGAAAATCCCCCAGATTCCTCAAAAGATGTTTATTATGAACAAAAAGTAAGCCAATAACATAATATTTGTAATGGCCCAAGTCCACCGCTAGCAGATTGTTCTCTTTAGATTTTCCATTTCGAGCTTCCCCTCTAAGGAAAGGTTTCCACACCCTTATAAAAATGCTTCGTTCTCCTCCCAACGGCTGTGGGATCTCACAATCTACTCCCTTGAGGGTCCAGTGTCCTTGCTAGCATTCGTTCCCTTCTCTAATTGATGTGGGACCACCCAATCCACCCCCTTTGGGGCCCAGCATCCTTGCTGGCACACTGCCTCATATGTCCAACCCTTTCGGGCTTAGCCTCTTTACTGGCACATCACTCGGTAGCTGGTTCTGATACCATTTGTAACAGCCCAAGCCAATCACTAGTAGATATTGTCCTGTTTGGGCTTTCCCTTTCGAGCTTCCCTTCCAAGCTTTTAAAACACATTCGCTAGGAAGAGGTTTCCACACTCTTCGTTCTCGTCTCCAACCGACGTGGGATCTCACAAATTAACCTTCTATTTATAGAGAATTAATGGGTTAAACCTACGCCCTTCTACTAACTAGGTGAACGGTTAACTAATTACAAGTACCCATTCAAATAAAAAATAGTTACTAATTATGCTACATCACATCATCTGTCTTAACTCTGGAAATCCCAGTATTTTGAAGTCATGAATCTGTAAATTCTTAACCTGCAAGTTTCATTCAATTTCTGACTGACAAATTCTGCATTTGAACTGACAGATAAAGAAGCAATTTTTTCTGGGAACTTCGTGTTCACTTCATTGGAATCTGAGAAACCAACCTCGAAGGGTGGAGGAAGATGATAATGCTGAATACTATTGGTTGTGTTCTACCTTCCAAATTCAAAGAAAGAAGAAGACATTCTATCAGTAATTCACCTAATAATTAGCAATAGAACTTTTAGAGAAGGTTTTACTCTTACCCTTTATTCATTTGCTTGATTAAATTTAATTGCTTTCGGATCTTCATATGATTAAATGTTGTACAAGTACAAGTTACAAATTTATATAAAAAAACAAATGATCTTTGTCATGTCTATTCGTTTAAATGGCATCAATTCTCTGCCGTTGGATGTCTCTTTCAAGGAAAAAATCAAAAGGGATGTAGTAATACCATCAACTTGAGTATCTGCAAAAACAAAAAAATTTGCAGGCCGCTTAAGATTAAGTTGCTATCACCGAAGAAGAGCAAACCGAGTTTGAAACTCGTGAATATATTGGAAAAACGCATAAACAAATCCTCACGATAGCTTGTTTTGAATATAACTTAGCTGATTAAATTGTTCTATAGAAAGTAGATATTAGAGTTCTTCTTTCAACTAACTCAAGTCAACCGAAGATTAGCGACTCAAAATATCGACATCAATAAGCGAAGAATCCTAAAAACATATGCCCAATAAAAGACGAAGTTGAAGTTGTCATTGTGTATGTTCCTCATATTTTGCTCCAAGAAACTGTTTATTACATCAGGTGTTTTGTCTTGAAGTTGTTATTAAATAAGGTTATTGCAATGGGTCCATGCCCAAGAAAAAAAGTTCCATTTTGTTTGTTCATTATCGAAAATTCTCCTGTTTTAGACGGCAACTGAAGTGATTGAAGAACAATGTTTATTGGAGTATTGAATTTTAATTCATAAATTATTATGCCTACAATGATCGTTGTAACGGCTCAAGCCCACTGCTACAAATATTGTATTTTTTGGACTTTCTCTTTCGAGCTTCTACTCAAAGTTTGTAAAACGCGTATGTCAGGGAGAGGTTTTCACACCCTTACAATGAGTGTTTCGTTCTCCTCCTCCATCGATGTGAGATCTCACAAACACACTCGTTCTAATTAATCATTACTTTCACCATTCTCTCTAAACTCGTGAGTAATTTAATTTGATCTCGGACTTAACTAGTTAAGATCTCGACCGAAAGTGTAGACAAATGTATTCATATATTATATACACCGAATAACAATATTGAAAAAAAGAATGAAATGATTGTATTTGTTCATATTTTGGCTGTTGGAACCCAAATTGTAGCTGAACACAAAGGCCTTGACTTCCAGCACAAACTTAGGCTGCCATTCTCATGCTGAACCCAGAAATCTCCTCTGAACAGAGTAATCAAATACTTAGCTTGAGAACAATTGAAAGAACTGAAAGGGATTTTCTTGTAGCCTTTGAAGTAATCAAATGCCTTTTCCCGCAAGTTCATCGCATTTTTCTCACAAGGGAATTGGCTGACTGACTCCAAAATTCTTGTCCCCAAGAACTCATCCATCACCTGTTTGAACCCATTTTCATAAACCCCAGAAAAGCATCTCAAAAGTGAATCTGAAAGAGATGAAAAATGGTGGAAAGCCTCAAAGAAAAACTCCACAAACGACATGGGTTGAGCCTTAGAGACCTTAAAAAGCTCTTCTTCAACAAGAACTACACATTTAGGGGATAGTTTTGCTACCCCATTTAAGAAAGTTTCAAGCTTTGATGAGTTTCTATGGCTTAAACTGTGCAAAATTCCACTGCAATTGGCTATCACCGTCTGACCCAACACTTGAATTTGCTCAAAGTTTTCATCTTTTTCAATACCCATATGATCAAATTTGAAAGGGAGATTGATTGATTTGGCAAATTCACTAAGCCTTCTCCCTGTTTCTTCAATCCTTCTCTGTTCATTTTCATTGCCCTGTTCAATGGCTGTTAGTCTCAACAAGCAAACTTGTTTCTTAGCAGCAAGATCCGCCATTAATGGCGGCCATTGAATCCCTTCCATGATATCAAAATCTATAACATGAATCATTTTTTCTCCTTCTGATGCTTCAAGAATCGCTTGATTAGCAGTGAAATGAGCAAACTTTATGTAAGGGGAAAGCTGCTGCAGCATCAAAAACGCTGACAAGGAGTTCTTATTCATTGTTTGATCTTGTTCTGCCATTTCATGAGCTGCAATATCATAACCAACAGTCTTGTAATGCAACCCTTGAGTGAAAAACCAAGCCAATTGATTGAATGATGATGAACCCATATCACATAACAGCAAATTCGTTAGCTTTTGAATCAAATTTGAAACGAGGGGATGGTTTTGTGCATCAACAGCATCAGCTGCTGCTAATAACAGATCTGTTAAGCTCTCTTCTTCCATTAGCTCTGCTTGAATTCCCTTAAACATAGTTTTGGAGTTTTCTTCTTCTTCTTCTTCATCTTCTTGAACTGATCTTGAATCGCCCATTTCTGGAATGCTTTGATGATCCATGGTGGTAGCGAGGAAATCTTCAAAGTTGTAATTGATTGGATCAAATTGATCCAATTCTTGTTGAAGCAGATTTTGATCAGCATATTCCAAAAAGTATCCATCTTGGAGGGAATTTTGAGAGGAGTTTTCTGAGAGAGAAGAACAAGAATTTGTGAGGCTGCATTCACCAAATTCATGGCTTTGTTGGGAAAAGTAAGAGTAATTTGTGAGGAAATCAATGGGTTCAAGTTCCATTGTGTTCATAAAGCTGTTAGCTTTATGAATGAATATTGGAGGGCTAGGGGTATAGTTTCTACTATTCTGTGTGTGTATATATATATATACACATACACATATATGAGTATCATTTTGTGGAGGTGGAAGCCCCATGATGACCACATAAGCACCCAATTGTAAGAGAGATGATAAGAAATTGATGTAATCATGAACCCAATTGTATGATTATTGATTTAATATTTTGAAGATTCCAACCCTTTTATTTTATTGTGATTTGAATATTGTTTAGGGTGGAATCTACTGGGAATCATCCTAAACTAGGGAAGAATCTTCCCGCTATCGTGTCAAAACTTTTAATTCTATTTTATTTTGTGAGATAGGAAAAGTTACGAGCAATCAATTGTGTCAACGAGATCAAAATCGAGTTGTTGCGCTTAGTGTACATCATTTACAAGTAGGACTATTTGACGTAATTTGAAAGAGCTTGTCTTGTGGCCAAAGGTTTCACATAAACATATAGCATCGATTATCTCAAGACGTTTGCTCCTGTGGCCAAATTCAAAAAGAAAAATTCATACGAGTCATTTTCTCGTATCTTGGGTCATTGTTTGTTTGTAAGGACTTGTAATCTATGACGTGAGTTTGGCCATCCACGTATTTGCGAAGCATGGATATTTGGAATACGGTATGAACCACGAAGTGGGATGGTGGTAGGACTAATTTGTATGTCACCGATCCAATTTGATCTATAATGTCGAAGGGCCTGATGAAGTATGGGCTCAACTTCCCCTTCCTCCGATCCTTAAGACACCTCTCGTCTGGAAAATCTTTAAGAATATCTCGTTGCCTACTTCAAACTCTAGATCTTTACATATTACGTCTATGTAACTTTTTTTTTATTATTATTTTTTTACCTCCGACGGTACGCATCCACACCCTAACTTTTTGCACAATCTCATTAGTGATTTGACAAACAACAAAAATATTCCTAATTTAAAATGGTCCATTAGACCACATTCTTTTACATTTAGTAACCAAGGAAACACTCCGTTCATCCAAGACTCATACTTTGAAAGCTTTGTGTAACGCTCACTATATAGAACATCAAGTTCACTTAAGGGTTTATCCCGTTACTCCCTTAGATGAGTCATGGGCATTAGCGAGTCAAAAGACCTTACAATCACTCATAAATACCACAATAAAACTTACCATAAATCTTTGAAACATTGTCTTTCTCGACTCCTATATTTAAAAAAAACTTTCGTTTCTTTAAGTGTACTTCTGTCCTTTGCTACTTTAATCAGTTTCTTATATTCTGCAGATCAGAATACATATCAGAATTTGCGTTCAAATATTATTAGCATATACCCTAATGATCGGAGCTAAATTGGGTTGTTTAATTCATATATGATAAATGAAATTTGGCATAGTGAAGACTTCAAAAGAAACAAAAAAAAAAGGGGAATTAAGTTTGTGTTTGATTGGAAACAACATAGAAATGGACAAATGAGTTATGTTTGTGTTAAATTAATAATGGGGTTTTGGGAGAACAAATCTTGGGATCTTTAGGATATTCCTTTGCTTTGCTTTGTTTTCCCTTTTGGGTTTGGTAACTTATACTCTCATCAATTGCACCATTTTGTGTTCAATCCATCGTCACTTTTAATAACATTATCAACTTCATCCTTCACTCCTATTACTATAATATGAACGACGACGACATCGGTACACATCCAAATCACAAAAGTTTCCCGTTGTAATCTATCTAGAAAATTTTATGTTCGAGAAGAAACCAAACAGGGTCTAGCTAATTGACCTATTATATGTTTAGACATCTTTTTCCTGATAAATATACTAGTCAGGTTCTTTATCAAAGAATAAAAGCAAAACACCCCGTATCCTTAAAAAGCAGATGGTAAAGGTGACCTCCAATCTAAACAGGAGGTTACTACATATCCCTCAAGAAGAAAACAAGACTTGAGTTAGATTCGTGTCAAATCATTCGTTACAAGGATGTTTTTTAAAACTTGGAGGGAAAGTTCAGGAAAGAAAGCGGAAAGAAGCAGATATTGTCCCTAACAAGCAATTATAAATGAAAATAATTATATTATATATAACTTTAAAAATTAAAAATCTAATAAATATATATATATATATATACATATAGTTTATTAGAGAAAGAGAGAATATATGTGGAATGTTCCAAAGGAACCAAGTTGGTAGGTAAGAAATCCCAAGTACACCACCAACCAGACACAACTTGAAGCCTACAATGTCACACCCTTCATTTTTAATTATTATTTTTCTTAATTTTTTAATTTCTAAAATTTTAAATTACTATTTCAAAATTCGATATTTAATAATAATAACAATAATAATAATAATGAGTGAGAATGAAAGGAATATATTTGTCTTATTGTATGTATGTGTTATGCTTAAAGTAATCATATTCATAAATTAATTAAGGTTTTCCAAAGTGTTTTGATGTAATAATTAAAGGAATAATAATAATTGGTAGTATATGCCATAACACTTCCCATATATATTTATTTAATAATAATAATGTTTTTATTAGTTTAAATCACCACACATTTTTTCATTTTCAATCATTTATTTAATTACTTTATTAACAACCAAACTATGCCTTTTTTCTAAGCTTACGTTTGCTTTTAAATTATTTTTTATAAAATAAATAATTGAGATTATTTGAACACTAATCAAAGAGTTGAATTCATATTATTTACATCAATTACTGTACATGTAATGAATGTATGATTTAAACATGCACATAACATGATATGGGATCATTCATATGGGACTCTTTCCACCTTGCTTCAGCACCAAATTCTTCATCTCTCTGTAGCTCTCTAGTTCTTCCAATGCATCAGCTGTAGTTTTAGAGGCTGTGATGCTGGAGGAAGCGGCGTACCGACCCTTTGAAGGCGCTATCGTCTCACATATCTGGGTTCCCTGCTGCTGGATGTTTCTGCTGCTTGAGGAACCAGGTGTCGGGGGTCGTGAGAGATTCGGGCTTGAATTGGTGAAGTCTTGGCGAAGTGGTGTAGCCTTTTGAAGCATACGTACTAGGGCGCCAACAGCTGCGTCTTGAGATTTTCGGATTGGGAAGAATCCGCTGGGTTCGAGCATGTCGCAGAGATTGCTGCTGCCTTTAGGGTCGAACGACTCGGGTCTGGAAGAGATTTAAAGTACAGATTCAATAAGGCAGTCAATAGAAAATACACATTTGATTGAATGTTACGTTCTCTAATGGCAAGAAGGATATAAAATAAATGCCCATCTATTTGGAGTTTCTAATGATGATTTTAAGCTAGGTTCTTTAAGTTAACAATCATATTGGAGGTGGATGTGTTCTAGTATGGACCATAAAGCCAACGATGGTTTAAAACACCTCGAAGTCATTACACAACCGATGTGGGATCTCACAATCCACCCCTGTTCAGAGTCTAGCATTCTCGCTGGTACTCGTTCTCTTGTCTCCAATCGATGTGGTCGATGTGGGACCCCCATCCCAATTCACCCCTCTTCGAGGCCAACGTGCTTGTTATGTCAAGTGGATCTTACAATTTCAACGATCTTCCCTCCCACACCAAAATTAACATTTGACTTGCCATTCTAACCCCAAAACGCTCTAATACAATGGGGGTCAGTTTCAGTAGTCCTAGAATCAAACCTCCCTGGTTGAAATCTTTGGGATCCTAACTAAGTCTCCAATCGATGGCACACCGCCTGGTGTGTGGCTCTAATACCATTTGTAATAACAGCCCAACCCCACCACTAGTAGATATTATCCGCTTTGGCCTGTTACGTATCGCCGATAGCCTCACGATTTTAAAACGCAGGCTAAGGAGAGATTTTCACACCAATACTAATCTAGATACCTAGCACTTAATTTGATACATGGTCGTCAGCCATTTTATCTTTCACCTAGACAAATATAAGACCATACACCTACGTGGTGGAACGCGAAATACCAATTATCTAACGGGTTTCCAACTCAAAACTAGGTGACTATTGCTTTCAACAATACAATACTGCTAAAACGACATCGAACCCAAAAGCTTAAGTTGTTGGGTTACGGTAAACTAACAAAAAAATAAATGAGACCTCCTGCTCTAATACTACGTTAAATCACCAGTAAGCTCAAACGTTTAAGGTTTAAGCGATTAGGTTATGGTAAATTTAATCTTAGATCGATGAAGAGAACTTAAGCAGCTTTGTAAAATTCATCCCTCCATAGCATTATAGGCTTTCTAAATTTATACCACAGTGGAAATATAATGCATATAAGAAGTACTAAAAGAGTTCAAAGTAGAAGGCAGTCATATCCAACGTTACCTGCTACCTCCATCTGTCATCTCATTATCATCATCAAAGGGGCAAGGAAACTCTGGATCATCTAAATCATCTGGAAAAGATGTACTGGGACTTCTAGAAATTGGTGAGTTATTCGAGGATACCCTCCAGCCCGAAATTCTTCGGCTTTCATCTCTTCCGAAAGACGATGACTAAAGACGATAAAAACAAATCAGGACGTTGAACACAGCACATTCGGGGAGGGAATAACGATAAGCAGAAATATATACCTTTCCAAATGCAGAGCCTGCCTGCAATGGACCAACATCTCTATTGATTCTAGGAATACCTGGTCCAAACGCTTTAAGGGGAGGCGATGGTGGCAAATTCGGTCTGCTTAACAATGCAGGGGAATGGGGAAGCTTTGCTGTAGGTGCACTTTGAGGAGCGCTTTCAGATTGCAATCGACCGTTTGGTAATCGCTTTACAGGAATGCCAATAGGTGGTGAGGGCGAAAAGACGGGGGAACGATAATATTCATCATAATTCATATTATCTTTATGTCCCATAACCATTTGTGAAGGCAAGCTTGAAGGAGGCAAACGACAAAAGGCTGGATTTGAAATTGTAGCATGAGACTCCGAATTCGTTGGTGAAGGAGAAAACGAGATTGGGGGGGAGGGTCTACATCGGTCATAACTCCAACTATGTCGTCTTGAGAATGGCAATGACGATGGAGATCCATGAGATGTTGCTATTGTTACAGGGAGCGTTGGAAACCTTTTCAATGGATCGGCTAACGGGCTCCCAACATATTCAGGAATTACTTGAGGAGACATTGGAGTTGATGGTTCAGAGGTTATATCAGAGAGCGACGAACGGTATAACACCGAGAGACAGAGTCTACCACAAGAAGTATCCACAGGAGTGAACACAAAATGCTGCATTTCAGCCTCTTCTCTCCGAGAGAACGGCTCGACAAAGGACGACACACGATGAGAAAGAGTAAAGGGATGAATTTGACTAGATGAACTAATATCCTGAAAAACCTTATGTGCAGGTAAAAGCCTCAAAAGGGCATATAAAGATCTCAAGAGTAAAATGGTTTTCTTATAGGTATGAGCAGTGCTATTACTCGACCTTCTGCTACCTGAATTACTATCCCGATTCTTCCTACTTTCATAATGCACCATCCATCTCTCGACAACCTTTTCACTCATGGACTGACATCCAAACTCCTTCGTGGACAAGTTCCTAACAAGATCTTTCCTAGGAGAAACATCAACCGAGTCCAAACCAAATTGTCTCTGGACCAAAACAACATCTATGACCATGGGTTCGTGATAGCTCTGACGCCAGAGATCAATATTCTCTAACGTAGCAGAGCATTCACGAAGGGCCAGATTGAACCATTTATCCCTCGGCCTCATACTAGAGGAGGAGGAGGAAGAGGAAGATGGGGAAGACAAAACTTGTTCGCCACTAAAATTACGCGATGAAATACTACAAGGGGACCTGGATTCAAGTATAATTTGTAAGGTTTTAGGGAAGAATTCAGTTAAAATTTGCTCTACTTTGGCAGTTTCGGAATGAGTATTGTGAGAAGAATTCGAAATCATATCGATGAACAAAGGAAGAAAAAGCAAAACGGGTAAAATTGAGAGAAACCCTTTACCGGAAAATCGAATTGGAGCGCTAGAAACCCCACTTGACTGCGATTCACTGCAAGAAACGAAGGATCGTTGATGTGGGGAAGATCAAATCAGTGGAGAAGGAAACCCCATTTGAAAAGAAATGAAAAAGACGGGGAAAGTGGAGGGGAAGAGAAGAAGAAAATGAATCGAGGTTAGCGTATGCGTTACGATGTGAATTTGGAGCTAAGTTGGAGGCTGTAGATCCACTTTTGAGTTTTGAGCTATAGATTATGAACCAAGCTTCGTCCATTCAGTGCCCTCGTTTTCCTTAACAAACACATTTATGCTTCAAATCTTCATCCTCTCTAATCACATCTTCACCCAAAAAATAAATAAATAAATAAATAAATAATTTTTCATCTCCAATTCCACTTACCCTCCCTATCACCCATTAGTATCACCCATTAAAGACAGGTGTCGACAGGGTTTCAATCTTGCAAATTAAATAGATATCTCTAACATCAATACCCAAGTTACAAGCTCGAAAATTATGATAATGTAATGATAGAATCCTATATTAGATTATACGTTTCATTTTCATTACCCAAAAAGGATGCAAATAGATATATTTGCTTTAGTTTCAGCGTTTTGCCCATTTTCATCTATCCTTTTCTCGATGATATCAAATCCAAGCTTCAAATATCTCATCTTTTTTTTGTTATTATTTCTTTTTCGACAAAGCTTTTTAACAACTTTTCCTAACCTTATAATAAGACACGTTACTTCTTGTACCTATGATCCCCTTCAATCGACACACGCGCCCTTATTTACTTAAACTATATATTAATTTAAACTCAAATAAATTTAATTAGGTTAAGTAATATCATAAACCATATGCTTTTTATAAAAGAAATTAAATTAAGTTATAAAGGAAGCATTAAAATAACAAAGATGGAGTCTTTATGGATTTGATTTGAGCTGTTCATCTAAAGGATAGTCTGCAATTTGGAACCCACTTAGAATCAAATCTTTATTTGGGAATTTGGTGCATTATCATCCATCTTAATTTCGGGCTGGTTGTGTTGGTGATCCAAATGACTCGAATAAGGTTCCCAACTCAACATAACCCAACGCTCTGTTTTCGAGTTGGGTTTAGGGTTGTTTATAATAATAATAATAATAACTTAATTATTCACCTTACATGTCATATTAATAACTAAAATCTCGTAAAACTCAAATATCAAATGTTTATGAGTCACAATACATCAACATGGGTTACACGGGTCAAATATTCTTATATTCATAGTAATATTAAAAGTAGGGTTAGAAACCCTATATTTGGGTTTGTTGGGTTGACCCGACTAAAAAAGCTCCAACTCATAACGAGCTAAGTTATTTGTTTTCTAAAAATTGAGCCGTCCCAAATCGAAAAAAGAAAAAATCTAACCCAACCCAACTCCAAACAAATTGTAACGGTTCAGATCCACCACTAGCGGATATTGTCTTCAGGCTTCCCATCAAGGCTTTAAAATGCATCTGCTGCTACGGTAAGGTTTCCACACCCTTATAAATGGTGGTTTGTTCTTCTCCCTAACCAACGTGCGACATCACACAAATTAAAATATAACCCAAATTTATGAATTGAGTTGAATAACTCGAGTTATTGGAATTCCAAGTTAAATTCTCTACTTGAATTGAAAATGGGTCCAAAGTTGATAGGTCGACGTTAAATTAGAAAACTTTATGTCCCATCATCGGATTGCAAGATGCAATGAGTGAGTATAAAGGGAATTATTTTAGGTTGGATTAACCAAATATGAAATAATAGTTGCATAAAGAAAGTTTTAAAAAATGAGTTCATCACTAAAATACAAAAACAAAAAGTAAACAAAAGAAGAATATGAAGAAGAAAAGGGCAGCCGTACAACTCAGTGGGCAGGCGTGCCAATAATTCCATTGGTGATTAGGGCTAAAACATTCCCTTCCATTACTCTGATCCATTCTAAATCAAATTTTATCTCATACACTGGCATCTCTATCATAATTGAGAATGATGAGCTCGAGAATAAACAAACAGATGACTGTTTGAAAAGAAGTTAGACCGTCTTTTGTTAGAATTGATGGTGTGACAACGTTGTGTAACCGCTCAAATATATCGTTAGTAGATATTGTTATTTGGGTTTTCTGTTTCGAGTTTCTTTTAAAATGCGTATGCTAATTAGGGGTTTCTATACCCTTATAAAGATGTTTCGTTCTCCTCCCTAATCGATCACAATCCACCCTCTTGAGAACCCAACGTCCTTGCTAGTACTCGTTTCTCTCGAGAATCAATTGTATTAATCAAAATTGCATAAATAAATAAAAAATGGATTATTTAAAAAAAAAAAAAGATTAAATAGTGAAGAAAGCTTTAAAAAGGTAAAGAAAACAGAAACCAAATTAAAGTAATAATAACAATTAAAAATAAAATAAAAGGACACGTCAGCTTTCTTCTTCCCCAATTTCCTATACCCACCCTCCACTAATATAAATAAATTCCCCATTCCCATTTTCTTCAAATTTCAACACGGACACGCCCACATGTCTATCTCCATTACAAGAAGGTTCCTCCTCCCCACCGCCACCGCCACCGCCGTCGCCACTCCGTCTTCGCCACCGCAGCCCCGCCCTGGGTTCGGTAGCTTCGACTTGAACGTTGTAATGGTCCTATCCGTCCTCCTCTGCGCTCTAGTTTTCTCTTTGGGTCTCAACGCAATCCTCAAATGCGCCTTGCGGTGCTCCACTTTGCTGGCCTCCGCGTCGGCTCGCCACGGCGGGAATATAGCGATCCACCCGAAAGGCGTTGGACGAAATACGTTAAAGAAATTCCCGACGGTGGAGTACTCAAAACAGAGCAATAAATTCAGGGGAATCGCAATGGATGGGGAGTGCGTGATTTGCTTGGCGGATTTCGAGCCGGGCGATCGGGTTCGTATTTTGCCCAAATGCTACCATGGGTTCCATGTTCATTGCATCGATAAGTGGCTGAGTTCCCACACCTCTTGCCCCAAGTGCCGTAATTGCCTCTCTGATACTTCCCGGAAGGTCGACGCCGGTTGTGGGTCAGCGGTGGAGGGGAGTTCGTCCTCTGTTGGGCCGCCGCCGCCGCCGCCCTCGGAGGAGGTGGTGGTGAATGTTGGTATTGCTCCTGTGGAACGGGAAGGTTTGAGGTGTAGCTATAGAGACAGTGGTAGATGAGACTGAAGTGGGAAGTGGGGGCTGTGGGGCCGATGGGCTGTGGGGCCGATGGGCTGTGCTGTTTTTGGATGATTGATTGAGCATTTTGGCTGCCTTTTGCTTTTGCTTACAAAAAAAGCACCTTTTTTTTCTTCTTCTTTTTGATTAGGTGGCCAAATGTAAATATCTTTCGTTTCTTTTATTAGGTTAATCTCCATCGTTATCAAATTTACGTGCTACTTTAACTCTATAACAAGTATCGACAACACCCAAAACACGAACATGCTCTCGATAAAAGAAAAATAGTTGCAAGGAAGAATTTGGAGTGACAAGATGTCACACCAAATTTGGTAACAAAATATGATTGCTAGTACATATTATCTGCTTTAGACCGTTAACCGTGTTTATATATGGTCGTTAGTTTCACGTGTTGAAACACATTTGATAAGAAGAGGTGTCCACGCCTTTATAAGAAATGCTTTATTTTCCTCTCCAACTGAGGTAGGATCTCGCGATCCATTTCCAAGGAGACCTAGAATCATCAGTCACACAACTTAGTGTCTGGCTCTATTGGTAACTATAAAAGTCTGGGGTTATCAGATATTGTCTACTTTAGTTAGTTAAATATCATCTATCAACTTTACAATTTTAAAACGTGTCTATTAAAAAAAGGTTTCCACGTCTGTCTTTTGTATTTAACGACAATAAAATTCTATAATAATAAGATTTAAAATTGCATGTTTTTAAAATGTTATTAAAAGAAAATAACAAAAATGAAAATTTTGAAATTTACAAAAAATAAATTAGAAGGTTTTTATTTTTGGATATTTCAAAAACTGAGCCTTTTTTATTTTGGTCATCCATTATGGGCCTCCAATCAAGTCCATATATGGAGCCGGCCCATTTCTTCAAGTCCCAATTATTGTTATATTTATTGTTAATTTTTTAAACATAAAATTAGTATATTAAATTATAGTAAATTTGTTAGCTACGATATTCACGTGCTACATGACCACGTTACTTACTCCTCACTTATAAGAGTGAAGACTATCCCATATAAATTAAAAAACCGTTTTAGTTATAAAAATATCATTTTTAATCTATTAAATATATAAATAATGTTTTAATCAGTTGAATTATATTCAATCGAGCTGTCTCATTCTCGTACATTCATATTCTTTTTCAGATAAATCGAGACTCACAAACGCCTTGATTTCGGAGGATCACGAGTATTTTAAAAATTAGAAATTTTTGTGTAGTTTGAATTAGATTGGAATGCATGGCGAAGGGATGACCCACTTTGAGCCACAATTTTGAGAGACTCTCACCATCACCAAATCTTGGTGACAAACAAAGTTGAGGTTTTGAAAGGGTGGGGTCCCAAAATGAGCAGCCACCCAGCCAGCTACCCAACCAGCCAACCAGCCAGCCGCACCCTTCAAAAATACATTCAATTTAATGCCCTCATCAAACTCATTGCTTCACCACTACTCTTTCTCTCAATTTCCATTATTTTTTTTTTTAAAAATTTTCTTCCTTATAATATTGACTATTTCAAGTTTATTTGGTTTTTATCTCGATTCTAATGGATATCTGATCTTCGATAAATGGATCGCATGTTTTCATCTACAAATAATAACAAAAAATACATTACAGGTCTAATCTCTAAACTTTTAAGTTTGTGTCTATTTAGTTCTTAATTTTGGATTAGATTAGGTTAGGTTTTTGGACTCGAGTCAGTTTGGGTTGGATATGGGTTCAGTGTGCAAAGGGTTGGATCAACTCGTCCAAACCCAAATACATTAAAAAGAGAGAAGGAGTTGAGATTGAGACCAAACACAAGTCCGACCCATATTCAACCCAACAGCCCCAATACTTACGGATACATAGCAGTATACTAGTGTATGTCATTAATCTTACAAGGTTCCAATTCTAGCCTCTTCGACCACCCATGACATCATCCGTAATTCAATCTTCCCTTCCTTCTTAGTTCTTCATCTTTTCCTTCATTTGTCACGTCTTTCTTCCCTTCTTCGTTTGTCCTTTGATCGTCCACGTCTAGCAGTTTCTTGTACAACGTAGTAGAGTCATATCTTCTAATCATCTAGTAGCTTCTTCAGTTCTTTGTTCGACAATA